CGATGTATACGATATGAACGATGTAAACAGAAAGGTATAGACTTTATATACAACATAAACACGATGTTGACACGATATTGTCAACATCACGATGTATTCGATGTGAACGATGTAAACACAAAGGTATAAACTTTGTATTCAATATAAACACGATGTTGTTAACATTGCCATGTATACGATGTAAACGATGTAAACAGAAATGTAGGGACTCTATATATATACAACATAAACACGATATTGACACAATATTGTCAACATCACGATATATACGATGTTAATGATGTAAACACAAAGGTATAGACAGGGTATAGATGGGTACAATGTAAACACAATAAGGACACGATAAAGAAGACATTGCGATGTTTACAATATCGACAAAACATCGTGCACTGGACATACTTCTAATTAAAGGGGTTAAATATGTTAGTGAGCGTTAAGTCCCCCCTTACACAAGACAGTAAGCAGTAACGGCATAGCATAAGAACAAATATAAGCAACAGTTAAAAAGACCTTAAAATTATGTCATTTGGTCTATGGTGGAGAGTTGTTCATTGGCAATCATACCAGATCTTCTTATTTCATATTGACTCAGCAAATCGACACAAAGCAAAAAAAAAAACGCTACCAAAAAACAAACTAACAAAAATACTAAAGACACAAAGTACCTTTCTAAGAGTACTAACATTTACTGAAAGATTATTCAAAGCAAATGACAACTGATAAATAAATCATATCTCCCAGCCCAAAATTAATCAAAATACATCCAATGGATTTAGTATAAAGATGTTATAAACAGGGAGAAAAAAACATATCCTAATGTCCAATACTAAAATATAACTATCGTAAGAATGTAGGACAGTATTGTCCATAACTGTATAAATATTTACTTATGTTTTAAATTATTAATACTAAAATAAATATTAGTACTGGTAAAAATAATTTTCAGTGTTTATTTAATAATAATAATAATTGATAACATTTTACTAGAATAATTTTTTTTAATGGATGAAAAAGTTAACATGGTTTGTATCTTAATTTACAGTCTCTTTATAGCTTGCTGTTCAGTGTGAGCCAAGGCTCTGTGTTGAAGGCCGTACTTTGACCTATAATTGTTTACTTTTTACACATTGTGACTTGGATGGCGAGTTGTCTCATTGGCACTCATACCACATCTTATTTCTATATCATGTATATATCAACAACATCGTCTTAAAAAAATTGGGATGTGATATCCCTTTTGTACTACCAAAACTGGTACAACCAAACTTACAAACCAAATCTTTGTATCTATGACATCCCAACTTCTTAATTTACCAGTAATACATTTATTCCATGCATTGAAATCTAAAATGTCACTACAGACATGGGCATAGCTAAAAGTTAGAATATGTAAACACGGTTTTCCAAAAAAAGAAATTAACCAATAGGGAACAAAAAATTGTTCCTTTTGTCGTAAATTTGTATATAATTTCTTGTTTGAAAATAAAATATCTAAATCTAGGAAAGGACATTTCTAACTGTTTATATTAGATTTGATTATAGTAAGTTCCTTTGGCATGTTTAGGTAAATGCTTGCAGTATCTTTATAGAATTCTTGATTATTGAATACAAAAAATATCATCAAGGTAACAATAAGTACTGCTGAATTTATCAATTTAAATGGAATTTTAGATGGATCTTTACCGAGTTTGGTATAAACTGTTCATAACAATACTGCCCCAGAACAAGTCTGCTTTCTAAGGGGCACAACTGGTGCTCATGGGAATACCTACAACCTGCCAATAAACTTTATTGCCGAAACGTACATAAATGCTGACGACCTTGAGAAGAATATTTACAGCTTTAGAACCATCTCAACACCAAAAATATATCTAGCATATATCTACCATTTTCATTACAGAATGTTTTATAGGAGCTTCAGCAAAAAAAAATGGCAATCAGATTTTTTAATAGATAATTTAATTAGATATAAAAACTTTTGCCATAAGACCACTTATTTTGTTGTCTTTAATCAACAATATTCAAGATATCAATAGAGGAGGTTTTAGAATTTCTTGTCCAAATCACTGATGCATGTGATGTTGACTTCTAATTTGCATCTCCTTTTATTCTGGGTAAAAACACAGACATTACTAGTTCCAGTTATATGCAAATTACACATCAACCTCTGTGCTTGTGTTCTAAAAATTGAAATCTAAAAACAGTCAACAGCAGCTGATAGTGAAATGAGGTATACATAAATAACTTTACAGAATGAAACCTATAATAAAGAATCATTTAAAACAATAAGTTTGGTTTGCCTTTTTGTCATCAATCATTCTGTGAAATATTTTGGATCAGCTATTTGAAACACACAATGTAATAGTCATCATCATAAATCAAAACTACCTGTCCACAAGGAAATGACAGCAAAGTAAAAAGAGAGAAGATTACCATAAAATTGGAGATTTCTTATAAGTTAAAAAATTTGGAAATATCAAGAGAGTTACCTGATCCTAATGTACAATAAGTATACAGTGTCTTTCCAATTTGACTGTTCAGACCAGAAATTTAAGCTACCTTAAACCAAAAGTTTAAACCAGTATGGGACAGACTGACCCTATAATAGATAGGACATAAAAGGTATAGAACCACAAATTCAGGCCCGGTCGACAAGAACATACAAGAAAGTAGTACATATTTTAAACAAAATAGTTCCTATGCATAGCTGCATCTTTGTCAATAGGTGAAATATTTGGGTAGTTTTGGTATTCAAATGAAAGCTTGGGGACTTGGGATCACTGTATAACCCTTTTTGAAAGTTTCTTTTAAATAACAAGAAATGATTGTAACAGGATGCTGTTACGAAGTCTCCCAAACGAAGCTCCCATAATTCGTAATTCCCAGGATCGCCTGACATTGGGCAACGTCCAGTGAAAATTGGTTTGGTCAAGTAAAGTTATATGCATTAGTGATGCCTGGGGACTAACCTTGTATATCATTCAGATCATCTTGGCATGACAAACCAGAATATATATGGTTAAGGGGTGGGGATCTCGACCATTTACAAGATACTAGAACATTGGGGGTGGGGGGAACTCCTGGGGACCGACCCTATACGTCATTCAAATGTTTGTTACATGACGAACAGGAATATATATGGTTTAGGGGTGGGGATCTCAACCATTTACAAGATATTAGAACATTGGGGGTGGGGGGAACCCCTGGGGACTGACCGTATACGTCATTCAAATGTTCGAGACATGACAAATAGGAATATATATGGTTTAGGGGTGGGGATCTCAACCATTTACAAGATATTAGAACTTTCTCAAATGGCAGGGGGTTGGGATGACCCTTGGGGACTAACCATGTATATCATTCAAACCATCTTCGCATGACAAACCAGAATATATATGGTTTAGGGGTGGGGATCTTGACCACTTACAAGATTTAGAACTTTCTTAAATGGCAGGGGGTGGGGGTGACCCCTGAGGACTAACCCTGTATTTCATTTGATGTGCTTTATCATGACAAACCAGAATATATATGGTTTAGTGGTGGGGATCTCGACCATTTACAAGATATTAGAACTTTCTCAAATGACAGGGGGTCGGGATGACCCCTGGGGACTAACCCTGTATATCATTCAAACCATCTTAGCATGACAAACCAAAATATATATGGTTTAGAGGTGGGGATCTTGACCACTTACAAGGTATTAGAACTTTCTTAAATGGCAGGGGGTGGGGGTGACCCCTGGGGACTAACCCTGTATTTCATTTAATGGGCTTTATCATTTAGAACATTTTCAATTAAAAAGATTGTGTCTATCACAAACGGTTTTCAATTTATAATCATTTGAAAATTTTTAAAAATAAAATCCCATAGGGTTCTATAGTTAAACCCTCTTTTCTTTTTGCCCCTCAAAGTACCCCTTTATAAACCCCATTGCACAAACAAAACCCTGATTGCACCACTAGACATGTTAGTCTAACATATTGTGAAACCCTAAGTTAATCTGACAAGCGGTTTTGGAGAACAGGTGCGGACAAGTTCAAATTTAAAAGCGGCGGAAGAGGAAGAAGAAGAAGAAGAAGAATAATAATAAGAACTGAGCAAAAACAATAAGTCTTCCCAAACTTCGTTTGGGAGACTTAATAAAGAAGTATATAAAAATATAATAGGAGGGCACATTTGCCCTGTTGTTCAGATCAGAAGTACCTGATTTTGTACTATCAAATAGAACCAGTACGCTCTAATATGCAATTAAAGGTATGTTAAATTTTTCAGCACAAGTCAGGAAAAGGTATAGTTTTGACATGAAATGACTGCCACTTTATTTGAACTTAAGACAAAGTAGCAATTAATGCTTGAAATTGCAGAATTTAACATAGAAAGCAAAGGGGCTATGAATTAGTGGTTTTATACCTAAAAACCTGATAAACAGGCAAATTCAAAAACTCTTGCCTTTAAGCTTTACAAATGTTTATTGCAGTGCTCTGCCAATCATTTCACTATTCAACTTTTTCATAAATTCATTTAGAAGTTTAAATCAAATGTATTTTAGACAAGATTAAAAAAAATTGTAAGTTTGTTATTGACAAAATTTTGAAAAAGATTTTTTTGTTTTATTCCTGCCAACCATACAAAATACAATATCCCTGAAATATCAATAAAAACTATCTGCATACATGTAGTAGCATTGATTTCAAATAATGTATTATTTCAAGTAAAAAAGACAGTTAAGTGCAAAAGATAATTAAACAATTCAAGATTTCCTGTATCATACATAGGTGGTTAAGTCCGAAAATTATCCATTTTGATATCAAAAGAAAGGTTACCTGGAAATACCAAATCTGAATATCACGATCCATAATACACAGGGTATAGGTTCTTTGTTACCATTGGATGGGTCATTTTTGGCTATGGCAATGACATACAATGTATGTTTGAAACAGCCAATCCAAAAGAACATATTTTTGGGTTGTTAATAATTTTATTTAATCAGTATGACTTACATTTGTAGGGTTTATAGAAACTCTGTCACATTGTCCTGTACTCTTATTGTAGCACCAGTCTCCAAATTTCTGATTTGCAAAATAAGTGTTAATCAAATTTGAAGAAGGACACTTAATTCTTTCTTGTCTTGATTCCTTGAATATGGTTTTAATATCTGTTACTTTATATCTACAGATTACACTTGAAACATCATCAGCAAAAGCAACAAATAAATAATCCTTCCAAAATACTGCATCCTGTGCCTCCGTGAAGACTTTAGTATTGTATGTACAAATGATGGGTGTATCTTCATATGAATTCATTTTACTTATAGTATTTCTAGAGGTACACTGTTTCCCTAACTTTGAATGTGTTTCATTAAATTTAAAAAGAAAATAAATAAAAGTATCTTTTTGAAGAACAGTTTTAAAACTAACATGTTTACTATCTTTCAAATAAAGTACTGAATATTCTCTCCCATCATTAGAATTTTTTGGATACTCTGTAAATGATTTCCTTGGACCAGGAAATGACCAACCTGAAATAGCTCTACATTTTGGTGAATTCAAAAGACTAAAGCAAGATGATGATGCTATAAATAATACTTCAATTTCACTATTTTCTTCTAAATATTTAGTACTAATATATTTTGCTGATAAACTCTCTGTATTAAGACCAATTTCATAAGTTGTATTAATCATATTTGGTCCAACAGCAAAATGAAGGCATATCAAATTATTATCAGAGTTTTTGTTATACCGGTAATTACATGCAATCAAAGTTTTATTGTTGTGAACATCTAATAACCAATTGACTGGAAAATCAGTTATTTCTCTTTTTTCATAAACATCTAATGTTGAATTTAGCTGAATTATATTCTTTTCCCCACCAATGTACACATAGTCAGATGCAACTGCTAAATTCCTAAACTTCTCATCACTTGTATATTTATCACAACTATATTCACTTGCAAGCTGTACAACAATGATCCCAAGACAATATAAAACATGAGATGGCATCACTGCTGGATAATTGATAGGAAACAGAAATATATATTTTTAAAATGGTTAGCTATAACATTGTTTCCATTCAAGCAGCTGATGTCAGTTCTGGTCAGTAGGTCACGTAACCTGAAAACAGAAAAAGAAACAAACTGTGTTATTATCACTTTTATATTTCAAAATCATGATATTTGTTTTTCAATAATGAAAAAAATTATCTAAAACTATACATATTATGTTATAGAATCAATTTCTAAAGGTCAATAAAGGTTACATATAAACTTTTAAAAGAAAAAAAGATGTCTTTTGGTTTTCTGTGTTACTTGGTTTCAGTCTCATTGACTATAGTCCATGTCTCCTTTTATTCAAATATTAAGGGCACATTTGTTTCAGTTTTTGGTAAGTTTGATAAACCTTATATCTATTCTACCAAACTAGGTTCAAAACCAAAACTGGTTTAACATTTGTTTCTTGAAAACTGGAACCAGTTCATAAACTTTTCAAATCTCTTGGTGTAGATTGAACAAACTTAAACAAACCATTATCAGAACTTTCGATTTGGAGCCAATTTATTGCAATCAAACTGGTTTTAGTTTCAAAATAGTTTGCAAAACTATTGATTTATTTTCACAAACCGGTTTAAACTGGTTTGAAACTCAATCTGGTTTTCTTGTTTATCTCGTGCAAACCAAAATTAGTTCTTGAATTTAAGCAAACTGCACGTGGTGCAGTTTAACAGTTCGGTTTCTGCAACAAATATGGTGACGTCCCAAAAAATATTGACTTGAATTAGAAGATACAGAAAACGTGCAGTGTATATGCGACCAACACAAGAAAGGTGGGTGGATTACATATGTTCATGAATATAAAAATAAGGATATGTGGAATGATTGCCAATGAGACAACTATCCAACAGAGTTTAAATGAAGTGGCTGCAAGCAAACATGTGCTTTGGTGATCGACCACAAGTCAGCAAATCGGATTATTTGGGTACATAAACATAAACCTCAACATATTAATTTTCAAATTCCGAGCCCCTGTGAAAAAAAACTGCTTCGCTGAGCGCAGCTAGATACGCCCGCAGAGGTCCAACCCTGAGCAGTTGGGGCAAAAATGGACACAATATTCAAGCTTGATTCAGGTCTGAATTTGGATTGTAATTAAATATTTGACATATCATAGGTTTCTGAATAAATGTAGTCAAAGAACTTGAAATTGGTTATATGAATTGAATTTATATTCAATTAAAGATTTCTTGCTGTTGTGCAATACTTAGTATATCTGTTGTCAGACTATAAACAAATAAAGTTCAATTAATTCTCAATGTCATATTAGAAATTTATGAAAATAAAAAGGGAGCTTACATAAATAGATATAAACAATTCACAAAAGTTTCATGAGAATTGGTGACAGCAGTTTTGATTAATTGTAAACTGGAAAATCCCCCTTTTTTTAATGAATAAAACCCCATAACTCGGAAACATAAAATCTAAATTTTATAAAACACGAAAGGGAGCTCACGTCAATAGATATAAACAATTCACCAAAGTTTTATGCAAATTGGTTAAAGCATTTTTGAGTTAATGTCCGACATGTTGACGACGGACAGACGGACGGACGTCCGTACGGACAGACGGATGGACAGACGGACGGACGGACAATGGTATACCATAAAACGTCCCGTAAAGGGGCGTATAAAAACGATAAAAATGTCCTTGTGTGCATCTTTCCTAAACAAATCTTTCTTATCCGTGGGGGAAGACGAACTGTATAATTATTTATCGAAACATAAACATATAAACTATAAACTAATTCAAATGGCTTAACATTGGGAAGATGCCTTGTATAGTTATCACCGGAACATAAACACATAAACTAGAAACTAATTCAAATGGCTTAAACATTGGGAAGATGCCTTGTATAGTTATCACCGGAACATAAACACATAAACTAGAAACTAATTCAAATGGTGAGAACATTGGGAAGATGCCTTGTATAGTTATCACCGGAACATAAACACACAAACTAGAAACTAATTCAAATGGCGAGAACATTGGGAAGATGCCTTGTATAGTTATCACCGGAACATAAACACATAAACTAGAAACTAATTCAAATGGCTTAAACATTGGGAAGATGCCTTGTATAGTTATCACCGGAACATAAACACATAAACTAGAAACTACCGGTAATTCAAATGGCTTAAACATTTGGAAAATGCATTGTATAATTATTTATCGAAACATAAACACATAAACTAGAAACTAATTCAAATGACTAAAACATTGGAACAAGAGTGCACACGCTGAAATGTCTCGCCTTCTTTACTAATCATTGATATTATGTTGATAGTCCTAAATATAAAGCTTTATTACAACTGTCACATAAACTTAACATTAACCATGTAAACTAAACATTGACCAATGAACCATGAAAATGAGGTCAAGGTCAGATGAACCATGCTAGGCAGGCATGTACAGCTAACAATTCTTCCATACAACAAATATAGTTGACCTATTGCTTATAGTTTAAGAAAAACAGACGAAAACACAAAAACTTAACACTGAGCAATGAACCTTGAAAATGAGGTCAAGGTCAAATAAAACCTGCGTGACTGACATATAGATCATAAAATATTTCCATACACCAAATATAGTTGAACTCTTGCATATAGTATTAGAAAAAAAGACCAAAACTCAAAAACTTAACTTTGACCACTGAACCATGAAAATGAGGTCAAGGTAAGATGACACCTGCCAGCTAGACATGTACACCTTACAATCATTCCATACACCAAATATAGCTGACCTATTGCATGCAGTATTAGAAAAAAAGACCAAAACTCAAAAACTTAACTTTGACCACTGAACCATGAAAATGAGGTCAAGGTCAGATGACACCTGCCAGCTAGACATGTACACCTTACAATCATTCCATACACCAAATATAGTAGACCTATTGCATACAGTATAAGAAAAACAGACCAAAACACAAAAACTTAACTTTAACCACTGAACCATGAAAATGAGGTCAAGGTCAGATGACACCTGCCAGTTGGACATGTACACCTTACAGTCCTTCCATACACCGAATATACTAGACCTATTGCTTATAGTATCTGAGATATGGACTTGACCACGAAAACTTAACCTTGTTCACTGATCCATGAAATGAGGTCAAGGTCAAGTGAAAACTGTCTGACGGGCATGAGGACCTTGCAAGGTACGCACATACCAAATATAGTTATCCTATTACTTATAATAAGAGAGAATTTAACATTACAAAAAATCTGAACTTTTTTTTCAAGTAGTCACTGAACCATGAAAATGAGGTCAAGGACATTGGACATGTGACTGACGGAAACTTCGTAACATGAGGCATCCATATACAAAGTATGAAGCATCCAGGTCTTCCATCTTCTAAAATATAAAGCTTTTAAGAAGTTAGCTAACGCCGCCGCCGCCGCCGGATCGCTATTTCTATGTCGAGCTTTCTGCGACAAAAGTCGCAGGCTCGACAAAAATGCATTGCATAATTATTTACCGAAAAATAAACACACAAACTAGAAACTAATTCAAATGGCTTGAACATTGGGAAGATGCCTTGTATGATTATTTACCGAAACATAAACACATGAACTAGAACTAATTCAAATGGCTCAAATATTCCCAACCTTTTTTTAACATGCACACACAATCTACTATTGATCCAGATTGAAACAATAAAATCAGGGACTAGTTTCACAAAGTTGTCCCAGAACGAAGTTATGCTTTGATAAAGAATGTCTTCAGTCACAGATTGACTTGTCCTTCGCTGTTTCGTAAAGAACAACAAAGCGATCGGTGTTTTTAGTCAAAGGTATTCGACAAAAAATATAAATAAGAGTGAGTATGAGTGTAAATGAGACAACTCTCCATCCAAGACACAATGTAGTTAAAGTAAGCAATTATAGGTTACAGTAACACGGAGTACATTTTTCATAGAAAAAAAGCTGATGTCTTTCTGTTCATTACTTATTAGGTCTTTCCACTTTTCTGTGGAAAGACCTATTGTATTTGTTCTGATTATTAGGTCTTTCCACTTTTCGTGGAAAGACCTTTTGTTTTTCTTCTGATTATTTTTGTTTTTCTTCTGCCGTCTGAGATGCTTTTTTGTTTTACAACATATCGAAAGGTTTTTTTGGCCAATGATGTTGTACAGTAATGGGGATTTCAAAACTCACCCTGTGTAACTGAACACTTATTCTTATAGGAGTTATCTCCCCGTGTCCCCTTTTTCTTGTTATCTTTATATCTCTGAAACCGTAAAAGATTTTAACAAACTGTTTTCACCAAATTGTTCGTCTGCTCTTAAGAATGGTTTGGTTCAATTTAACTGATGTGATTGGATGACATCTTATAGGAGTTATTTCCCTTTGAAAATTTAACATAGGTGATATGTTGGATAAATTCATACATTATAAGTCACAGAGGCACAAACTCTTTTGATATGAAGTCCTTGGTCCATTTGGAGGAAATTAAGGTCAAGGTCAAAGGTTAAGGTCATGTTCTAAACTTTAAAATTTGCTTGTTATCTTTATTCAAAAGAAACCATAAAGGTTAATGATATGATGTGTTTGCCATGTAATTGTTTACGATAGGGCGCAACTTCAACCCGTTTAAGTCGAAGTGTTTTGGTCAACCCTTATAGGAGTTTTCTCCCCTTATGTATTTGAAATCAGCATAACACCTAATCCATACAAGTGAATGACCTGGGATCTTTCGATTTGAGATCACTAACTTATGACCTTGTAATTGAGATCAAGGTCAAAGGTCAAGGTCATGTTATAAATTTTGATTTTGGCTTGTTATCACTTATTTTCAGAAATCTTGTAAGATATCGACAAAATATTTTGACAGAATTGTTAGTTGCGACATGTAGTAACACATAAATTTTAGTTGAAAGGGTACGTAGGCATTTAATGGGAGTTTACGCCCCTTTTATATCTAATATTAGCTATAGTAGTATGGTAATATAACTCATTAACAATATATAGTAGAGGCCTAGAGTCTTTTGAATTGAGACCCTTGTTTCATGACCTTGAAATTGGGGTCAAGGTCAAAGTTTGATTTGACGTTCTAGATTTTGAC